GTGAATATAGATGTGACTTCATGAATCCTGCAGTTAGTCAACTGTCACCCACCAGCAGATACTGCTGGTGCCATGGGCACCCTTACTCTTTTCTAGCCACACAGCTCACCCTCCTGAGTGCTTCTGATCCAGCACACAGTAGGCACTTCATAATTGTACCTGAATGTGACCATTTTAAATGTGAACCTCACTCCTTAAAAGATGGGGAGAACAAAGCCCAACTTCCAGCACTGCGAGCCAAAGGAACTTTTAAGAAATTCTATTAGCTAAACCAACAGTGGTGACTTCCTGTCAGAGCAGGAGGTAAGAGGCCCTTCCCGGCACTGACGACCTATTTGGTTTGATCAGCTTGTTTACACAGCGCCCTGAAGAAGGGAGCGATAAAATAATGTACAAAATTCCTCCCTCAACCAGAACAGTATCCTGGCTGTCAGCTGTTAAGGGGAGGGTTCTGTCAGTGACAACTTAATGACTTTGAGATATTCCAAAAGTGCTTCTTCAAGTGCTTTCAAGTGCCTTAGAAACAAGTTACAGTTGATGGAGAATCAGTCTCTCCTTTCTTCTTAATCCTTAGTCATTAACAGTTCAATTCAAGGACTAAACAGGTTTCAGGAGTTTTTAAACCCCAGTTATCGATGATCTTTGATGTTGGATCACTTCTTTTTGTGCTTTATTTCCTAAGAAAATGGCCGTTGAGGGTCCCAGACAGGCTGTGCTCTCTCACATGCTAATGGCAAAGCCCAAACGGGTGGGGGTGGTCATCACTCCTCATCTGCCTCTTGGGATCCTCACTTGTTATCAAAGTCAAACTTCCTGGTCTAAAATTTCCTGGCTCCTTCCTCATCCTATAGGAAAGGACTAGAACATATGTTTGCCTCCTCAAGTCTCCTGGGTACCTCTGCTCTTTTTAAAGAACTGTTGGAAAGAACAGATGCTACATTGTGGACTTTACACAGGAAGTACCTAGTGACCTAGCCCTGCCTCTTTGGTGATTTTCTCCTGGGTCCACATGGGAAGAGAGATATATGCATGGGCCAACCTTCTCTGATCATTGCTTACTCAATGCGCATTAAGATCAATGTGGTCTCCCCAGTCCAGCTTTGACCTTCCTATCTATTTAGGAGGAAAAAGACTCTGACCAATACTAAGTATTAGCCATCAGTACAGGCAAGTATTAGTGTTGTGTACCTGCCTTATTTGGGGAAAAAATTTGAGATTTATGAGGCCATCTCATAAGATTTTTGAAAAACATGCTCTAAGTGCTTCTGTTACACACTAAATATTTAATCTAATCATGCCGATCCTTTGTTTAGAACCCATTAGTAGCTTCTCCATTGTATTTAGAATTCAATTTAAACTTTGTGCCAATGGCCTCCACCACCCTAACAATCTGGCTTTTTTCCTAACTTTGAGGAAATATTAATATACAACAACCTGCACATATTTAAAATATACCACTTAAATTAATGAATAAAGAACATGTCCACCTTTAAAGTTTTGTTATGCCCCTTTTAGAATCTGTATCTCCTTTCACACTGATGCTCAATAAACCATTGATTTGCTTTCTGTCACTATATATTAATTTACAATTTCCAGAATTTTATATAAATATATGTATTTCTTTCCTGCCTCATTGGACAGGGCATAATGACTTTGAAATTCACCCATGCTGTTGCATATATCAATAGTGTGTTCCCTTTCACTATTTTTGTTAAATTATCATTTATATAATATTTCAATTTATGGATATTGTTTATCCATTCACCTGTTGATAGACATTAGGATAGTTTCCAGTTTTTGGTTATTACAAAATTTAATAAAAAGATTTTCATGCAAAGGGAAACAAAAAGAAAGTAAATTACTACTGAAAATGTAAAGTAGGTATTATTTGCCATAAACAGAAGCTTACCATAGAAATGAACATGAAACTAATAAAGGAGTTGTACAAGTTAAAGTCACTGTGGCCGCCAACCCTGGGGTATAAACCATGGTGGGGAACCGTCTCCCTGCAGGAATCAGATGGGCCTCTTGTTTCGATCCCAGCCTATGGATCATGGCAAGACAATGAATAGTTACACTCTATGGTGTCCAGTTAAAAGCAGTAAGTCTGGAAGATGATATGAGAGAATGTGGCACTGTAATGTTGACAGATGCTATTCAGTATTTGTTCATTAAGTGAAAAAATTAAATTATCAGTGACCCCATCCTGGGGGTCACTGGGGGTGTAACGGGGATAAAATAGATGTGGTTTCTTGGGTTCATAAGCTTATTTATGGTCTAAAGAGTAGCAACTGACAGCAAGATAAGCCTTACGGTGCTATTGTATTATGTTAACTCATTTTCTGTCAGTCTGAGAGAATACAGCAGAGTTGTTACTGTGGCCATAGGAGTCACCCATATTTAAATCATGACCCAAAACGTAATTAGGAGTCAGAAAGGTGAGCTGAATGAGAAATGGGTGATGAGACAGAGGAGCAGGTTCTAGGGAGAGACACTGGTAAGCCAAAACACAGTCTGGTCAACATTTAATCTCATCTCAGCATGACGAGGCACGGCCAGGAGTTCTCAATCAATGCAGTGGAGAATCCATGCCAGTCTTGGTTTCCTAATGCTCTTCATCACGTCACTAATTTCTCCCTGCCCAGCTGGTAACTAAGGTGATGGGTATGCTGGTAGACTAGTGGTCTACAATGATTCTGGGAAGAAGCTGTATTTGACTTATGCCTTGTCTATTTCAGTGGTTTACTTTATACAGCTAATACCAAGTTAGTCTATATGAAATGAACCTGGTCCTTCCAAAGTCAACCAAGCCAATCACAACCAGCTTCTGACTTAATTGAAGCCAGTGGAGGTGGGGATGAAATAAAGGAAGGAAAAGCTTAGAACATCATCAACAGGCCCAGCATGTTTGAGGGATCACAGCTACGAAGGTGGAGTACAGTTAATGGGAAGAGAATTGGGGACTCTGATGTGTTCTACCCAATGTCCATCCCTTCCTTTTTCCTTGTTAACAAAACTTCAGTTGTATTCAGGGGTCCACCCTCCTCCTCACAGGCATGGACTTCAGAAGAAAGTGACCCCACCCCTAGCCTGGAGATGGATCTGACTGAACTAAGTCAATCACAGAGCCTAATGCCACTTGCCAATGACTGGTTTAGGCATGAGGATGTGACACAATTCTGGCCACAGAGACAATAGGGGAACTGTGCTGGGGTAGCTCTGACAAAGCTTTTCTTTCTCTTACAGAGGATCCCACAGAAGAGTTGGTTTCTTCTTCTCGATGCTTTTGTCATTGTGTATGACAACGGAGCTGCTGTGACCACCTTGTGACCATGGGGAATAGGAGATGAGATTGCAGACCTACCAGACCCTGGAACATTTGGGGGATGGCAGAACATAGAGTTGAAAGGATCTAGGCCCCTAATGACTTCCTCAAGCCTCAGAATCATTCATCTCTGGAGCTGCCCACTTTGGAAGTAATCACTTTTCTCATGTCTTAAGCCACTCACTTTGAGTTTGGGTTTCTTGGGCAAGAAGCATCCTAACTAAATATTCAATTCACTCATTCATTCATTCATTCATTCAATCAATCATTTATTCATTCAACACCTCCTTCCATGGTGGTGACTCTGCACTGGGTCAGGCACTGTACTAAGAGATGTAGACAAAAATTTTAAAAATGAAGTTGGATATGGTTATGTACCTGGTTTTGCTCAATGAAACGTGAGCAGAAGTGGCACATGTTACTTCTGGGGAGGAACTTTAAAAACCAGTCTGGAATTTGTCATGCTTCCTTTCCTCTGTCATGACGCTGAGTAAGTAGATGTTGAGAAAGAACTTCCTTCCATTCACCTGCCTCTCCAGTGACTGGGTTGAGCAAAATCTTACCCCTTCTTTCCCTCGTTGGATGTGTAGTGCAATAAAAAAAAATGTTGTTTTAAACCATTGTGAATCTGAGGTTGTTTATCATCAGGTAAAGTCTGTCTGTCCTAGCTGACAAGCATGGAAACTGCTTAGCACAGACCCTGGTGCTCAGTGCACAAAAGCCTACCTGCTGCTGATGTGGGGATTGTTGTTTTGCTACTGAGGGGTGCCTACCAGAGTAATGAATTAATGAGGCCAGCACATATCTAGAAATGTATTCAGAATGTGACTATTTAAAACCCAGCCATTTATAGGCTTATCAAGTAGAGAGAGTATCAGTTAACTACAAAACACATGTTTGTACTCAGAGTTCAGCCTTCTAGACCTAAGCATCTTAAAATCCCAAATAAACAAGATATTTTTAAACAACCAATGTAAAGTTTTGCTTTTAATATCATATAATTAACCGTAGCAGGATCAACTAGAAATCTGACTTCTCTACAAAGAGAAAGAGACCTGAGAGAAAATGGATAGAATACTGAAAATATACTATTATTAAGACTATTTATGAAAATACAGTGTCCAGTTCAGGAGAATCCGTAGTACTGAGCACCGCCGCCACGTCTGAGGCAGGGCACGGTGCCCCTCTCCCAGACGGACCCCGGTCATTAGAGATTGTCCTGGGAAGAGGAATCAGAATGGCTGGAGTTTAGAAGCTGTCCCTTGAAAGCCCTCAGCAGAGATAGGAAGGTGTTCCGTCAAGAGGAGGGTCTTGTTAGCGGTCTTAAAATCCTTAAAGAGAAGCCCACTTTCTCCGAACGCTTGCACAAGGTCAAACGAGGCGCAAAGGTGGAGCGTCAGGGACACTGAGCTCAGCTCAACGCGGAAAGGAGTGAGAGGGAGTGGCCACCGCGGCGCCAGGCGGCGCCCCGGACCCCTGCCCGGAGCGGGGGCGGGAGTGGGACGGGGACCGCCTCCGGCCCGGGATGCGGCAACTCGGCAACTCGGCAACTCAGAAACTCGCGCACCTCCGCGCAGTCGGCTGTTGGCTCCTGAGCCGCGCAGGTGGCTGCGGCCCCGGGAGACCCAGGGAGCCCTCAGGTGTGAAACCCGGCAAACTGTGGGAGACGGCGTCTGCGGGGGACTTTGCCGCCCGTCCACCAGGACCTGGGGAGGAGAACCAGAAGCTCCCGACCCCGGGCCCCTCCACCACCATTTTGGATACTCGGCAGGGACGCGCTTGGGGGTCCCGCCGACTTCCAGGACGGACGCGTGCCGCCCTCTTTCCGCCAACTAGGCGGCAACCCGTTTTTGCCGCGGTGACTCTTTGCCTGTGACTCCGTGGAGCCTGGAGCCCCCCGAGAATGCCGCGGAAGGGACGCGGAGCCGGCGGGGCAGCGCGATGTCCGCGCAGGAGCTGTCCCCGCGGGAGCTGTCCCTGCAGGCTGCGCGTCTGGCGAAGGCCTGGGAGGAGCTCGGCCAGACAGGTTGGTACTGGGGACGTATGACTGTTAGTGAGGCCAAGGAGAAATTAAGAGAGGCACCCGAGGGAACTTTCTTGATTAGAGATAGTTCGCATTCGGACTTCTTACTGACAATATCGGTGAAAACAGCAGCTGGACCAACTAATCTGCGGATCGAGTATCAAAATGGGAAATTCAGATTGGACTCTATCGTGTGTGTCAAGTCCCAGCTTCAGCAGTTTGACAGTGTGGTTCATCTGATCGACTACTATGTTCGTATGTGCAGGGAGAAGTGGACGAACCGAGCAGCCCACCAGAGCGGCGGCCTTCACCTGTACCTGACCAAGCCGCTGTACACATCAGCACCACCTCTGCAGCATCTCTGCAGACTCGCCATTAACAAACGCACCCGTGCCGTCTGGGAATTGCCTTTACCGACGAGACTGAAGGGTTACTTGGAAGAATACAAGTTCCACGTATAAGTGTTTCTTTTTTTTCTAAACATGGCTCACGTAGACTATCTCCAAAGGCAGCTATGTGAAAGAGAGCCCAAACCTGCCCCGGATAACAACGCGACATTCCAAGAACACCTGAGTCAGTCTAACGCAAATGCATGACGGAGGTAGCTAGATAAAGTGCCCAAGGTATTTCACCTAAGGCTTCTCTTCCTAAAACTATGAGCAGCTGAACCTTTGAAGTTAAAAGTTAAACGTCTCAAGGAAGGCTGAAGGGCTGAAGTGACGTTTTCTTCGGAATGCCTGGCCTTTTGAAGGTTCTTTTTTTTTTTTGTTTGTATTTTTGGCTGAGGGTCCAAGTTCCAAAGGATTCCATGGAGGAGTACTGAAGAAGGGGAAGAAAATGGACACAGGCTTTACTTTAATGTTACATGCCTGGTGCTCTGAGCCTATTTGGCCATGTTATGTTCTGTATTCTGATGTCCCTAGGAGTTTTGATGATCAGATGTGCTTGTGAGTATTTATCTTCATTTTATACAATTAACCAAATCAATCAAAAAAGTGACCATGAAATCCTGTATTTATCTTTTTACTACATGTATGAACTCTCTCATGTGAATGAGTGCTATAGTAATCCACTTTAAGGGCAACTCACTTCAGAAATGTTTCAAACTGGTGCAAACAAAAAAGTTTGTCTTTTCTTTTAAGACTAAAGATAAGAACGTCATGCTATACAGGTGCAACCCAGTTCCTGTTAAATAACACCATGTAAATATAGACATTTTATCCTTTGAAGTAGCTGTGTCCCAGCCTGTTGCCATAGATTTTTTGGGAAACGGCTTAAAAATTTCCAAGTTGTCCTTGAATGTCTAACTGAACATCAGCAGTTGTCTCAATTCTAAGAACTTTGACTTAATTTTCTTCCAGATCTAGGGGAAAACTTGCCTGTTTCTCAAAGTGTTTATTTACTGCTGGTACTATTTGATTAGAATGTACTAAGTAAACAAACAAACAAACACCCCCCCCCCAAACAAACCAGACTTCCAAAAAAAAACCAAAGGAAAAAAGAAAGATGTTTGATCTTATAATAATTATATCTGTACAACAATAAAAAGGGGCTGATCTTGATATAGTGAGCTGTCATTTAAACTGTTTCAAGAGGCCCTGGCCAGTGTGCCTCAGTTCGTTGGAGTGTCGTCCCGTATACTATAGATTGTGGGTTTGAAAGATTGTGGGTTTGATTCCTAGTCAGGACATGTACCTAGGTTGTGGGTTTGATCCCTGGTCAGGTAACCTATGAGAGGCAACCAGTCGATATTTCTGTCTCACATTGATGTTCCTCTTTCTTTCTCTTCCTGCTTTTGTCTCTAAAAAAGCAATGAGAAAATGTTCTTGAATGAGGATAAAATATTTTATATATGTACATATATGTAGTGTTTCAAAAAAGGATGAATAACCCGTGTGTATACAGAATTCATTCGGCACTTATTGAGGATCTACTAAATGCCACATGATCAGCCAGATAAAGATTGATATGTGACTGCTGATTACAGGGTATTTAATGAAAGTCTGTGATGTATAAACAATAGGTACAAAGATAATTATTTTGTGTGGTAATTAAAATTGTAGAGTTTGTGCAAACTTTTATGCAGTTATGCTGTTCAGTAAAGGCCAGACTAACACAGTCGTGATCTAATGGGATAAGACACATATAAAATGTGTACATGAACTAAAGGGACCCTCCAACTTTTTTTAAAGCAAATAAGTAAAGGAGCAGTCTGCCTTGTTTGGGTGGAGAATTTGCCACTCTTGATGTAGCTTCTCAAGCACTTCAGGTGGCATGTAAAATCCTCCAGGAGCAGGGAGAGCTGGACACGTCTGGTGCTGGGACTTTACTGTGAGGCTTGTGTCCCTCCAGGTTTCCTTAGAAATGGAACTGCAAAAGATGGATGAGTTTTGGAAAAGGGACAGGTTTTAGTTTGTTCTTCCAAAAGAATGTGGAAGACTGAAGTAGCCAAAAGGGATAAGAAGCAGGAGGATGAGTAATTGTCCCTATAACCAGCTTTATAGGGATCCCTGTAACCAACCATCCCTGTAACCAATTTCTGAGAAAAAAGAGCAGCACACCACTAAAACTGACGATTCCCTTCTTTAGTATCAATCTCGAATCAATCCCAAGCGGGTTAAGACCTGATAATTTTAAGACCTGTAGTACTTGATGGTAAGGAACAGCAGCAGTGTGATAAACTGAGAAGCTGTGGTAAGGCAGTCCTAGGTTCAAGCCTGCAGCCTTCTGCTTGCAGCTCTGTGGCCTTGGGTGTGTTAACCTCTCTGAGCTCCAATAGCTTCATCTGCAAAGGCAATAAGAAGATAGATCACATAGGGTAGCTGTGAGGATTACACAGGATGATGCAGTGTCTGTATTCGTGTGCTTGCACAGTACAAGCCTTGTTGCAGACACTCATAAATTATAACCATCAGTATTATTTTACTCTTAGGAGAAATGCAAGCAAAAAAAAAGAAGTTAGGCATTAGTTTGGCTTTATTGGACTTTGGCTTCAAAAATCAATTCAACAAAGTTGAGCACTGATCCTGTGCATGGCACTGATTTAGTGGTGGGGACGCAGTGGGCAGCAGTAAAATCCCTTCTTTCACAGAGATACAATCCAGAGGGAAAACATAGACAATAAATAAGTAAGCAGATAACAGGATGCTTTTACATAAAGATTAGGGCTATGGAGAAATTTAAAAAAGAAAATGGGCTACAGTGTGCTGATGCCATGCATGAGAAGCCTGGCTGGACTTGTGGCGCGTGGGGAAAGATGTGAAGTCCTACAGTATGACATGAAGTGCACACCGAATGTGTGCCAGGTTGACCCCATGATTTTATGTCCTGCAGTTATGTACTTATCATGTCTTAGTGAAGTCAGGTCCCAGACAAATTGATTCCTTCATTTCAAAGGGATTTATTTTAGGACCCCCACACTTCTTTTGGTCTTGGACAAGTTAGATTACTCTTTTACAAAGTGTTTTGGCAGAACCTTCAACTGATGTGTATTTTTAGTACTGAGATCATGTGTAAGAAAAATGTGGATGGAGGGGCTAGATGAATAATGGGAGAGGAAAGTAAAATTGCAAACTGTTTCACAAGTGTCAACTTGGTAGCAATGGCATAGAAAGTATCAGATGATTTATAGGCTATGTGAGGCTTAAAAACAAACATAATCAAAATACCAAATTGCTGGTGTTTTGACACTTGTGAGAGTGTCAATGATGAAAGAACTTGAACTGACAGACAGTAGGAAGGGTCAGAGTTGGGAGTCAGGGGGAGACAGAGACAGATATTGATGCAAAAAGGCAAGCTTTTGGGAGAATGCTCTATTTGAACTTAATCACCAAAAACATTTTCTGGAAGAGCTTGGAAGAACTTTCCTTCCTAGGCCCAGATGAGCAATATAGCCTCTGAGTAAAGAGAGAAATCATGGTCTGTCTTTGAAATTCTAGCTTGATCCTAAAATGGCACACTTTGATTTTTTAAAAAATGGCAAGTGGAATTTTCAACAGCTGAAGTAGCTGATAAACATGACTGTAAAAACACTTACAGGACTCAGAAGAGGGTGAGCCTTTAATGATAGCTCTGTCTCATGAAGTACAATCTGTTAATTGCATACACTGTATACATGAATGACTTTTAACACATTTTATGTCATCATTCTGAAACCCACAATCAGGAATATCTCTAAGATTTCATTCAGATTCTTCTCTGTTACCCATAGCCAGGCCCCTGATTTAAGCTAGTTTCTCATTTATTTCTTCTATAAACTCCTAAGCCTTAAATCTACCTTATATTTTTAGTTTATGATTTTTTTTCCTCTGAAATGTCAACTTCTCAGTTTCCACCCTGGCTTCCTTCTACCCTTCAAAGTTTAGCTCCAAGGTCTCTTTTATAATGAACCCCTTCTTAAGCAGACTTACCTGTACCCTGATTGGGTTTCCCATAGCATTTTATATACATCTTTATGATCCTTTTGTTTATCATCATCATGTCTACCATTTATTGTGTGCCCACAGGCACTGTGTTAAACGTATTACATAAATTCCTTCATTTAATCCTTGCAACAGCCTGATGAGATAGGTATTCCAATTGACTGAGGAGGTAAAGAAATTGCTCCATTTCATCCAGCTAATAAGACATGGCACCAAAGTTTGAACTTAGTCTTCTACATGACCTCTCATACCACACTGTTTACTTTTGCTGGTATTGCAGTTTATTTGTTTTCTGTCTGTTTCCCTCTCCAGATAACAAGCATGTGTAAGTCATGTCTCAGTAGGAGGGACAGGTGAATTTCCGATCTGGTGAGGAGTTTTTTCCATTGCTTCTGTCCTCATTTCCAATGGCTTTTCCATACCAATGGCCTCTCTTGGCTCATGCTTCAGACTTTCCTAAAATCTTTCAAACAAGCAGCATGTGGCCTCAGCATTCCCCATACCTCTCACTAAGTGGCCTCAGGTCTAGCACCAGCAGCAGCTGGCCTTGGTTTGTAGCTTGCCTTGCCTGGGCACCTCTAAGTTCAGCAAAAGTAGCAGCCATATGCAGATTGCTTTTAGCTCATGCTGGGAGGCCCCTGGGCAGAACACAGGTGGCAGCTGACCTTGGCCTGCACCTCCTGGGAGGGCCCAGAGTCAGCACACTGGTGGACAGTTTCAGACCATGTCAAAATACCACCTACCCACCTCCACAAATGACACAGTAAAGGGATGGACTCAGTGGGCATCAGAGCCCAGCTAAAGCAAATCCTGCTCTTTAGGGTGGGCCACTGCTCAGCTGATCCTCTATGGTGGTTGCAACCTCTCCTTGCAGTTAGTCAGCCGGGGGGTAAATCCCTCCCATTGACATGCCAAAGCAATCAAGGCTCAACTATAACATGAGGGTGTACACAGTCTACACAGGGGCAGGGTACACCTGGAGTGCCCAGCTTGAGTGATCAGGGAGGCTGTCCTGCTGGACCTCACAGAATATCTACTACATTAGCCTACTCTGCCAAGCTCTACCTAATACAGGAGAACAACATAGGGAGGCTGCCACAATGAGGAGACAAAGAACCATGTCCCAAATGAAAGAAGAGAAGTCCAGAAATAGTACTAAACAAAATGGAGACAAGCAATCAAATAAATGCAGAATTCAAAACACTAGTTATAAGGATGCTCAATAAACTTAGGGAAAACGTCAATAGCATAAAAAAAGAATGTGGAATCCATAAA